TGCGTGGTTGGTGGTGGCCCCCTCGACTTTTGAAAAATTGCAAATTTAGTATATATTTCTTTTTTCGCTTTTTAAAATTTTTAAATATTATATTTATTATGTACCATTTTAAATTATTCTTATTTAACTCTTTATAACTGTTATAATTTTTTATACTTAACAGATTAAGACTAATGTAATTTATAATATTTTTATTATAACTACCATTTCAAATATAAAGAAAACGTTAGGACTTAATAAATTGTTTTGTAAAAGATGAGAAAATTGTAACATAAATAAATGAATTTCCTGTATATCAAATAAATTAGAAATTGAGACTCTTAATTAAATCCAAACTTAAAGATCTTCTTCCTTTAAGTTTTTTGAATTGTTTTAGAATTTTATTTGTTTAATTTTTGTTATATATTTTAAAAAATGATTTAGTTAACAAAAAATTTTGTTGATAAAAAGGTTTTAGTCTTTATTTAGTTAATGATTTTAGTTTCTAAGTGTTAAGTTACACGATTTTCTCTTTCCTATTGTTTAGTTCTTTGGGATGGAAAAAAAAAGGGATAATTTTTGATACACAAATTAGGGGGGGAAAAAAAAAGATAAACATTTTGGAATAGAAAGGGTAGGATTTTGAAATTATTTGAATTAGTTGAATCATTAGTTAAGTGTTATCATAGTAAGCGCTGTTTTTTTTTAATAAAATAATGTATTTAATAAAAATTTATTAGAAATATAGAATGAAGAAAAAATATTCATTTCTTAATTTTATTAAGATTCTTAAGAAAATATCAATGAGAAGACAATCAAAATTAAAATTTAATAAAAGAAAATTAATTAATGTTATTAAAATACTCAAAACACAAGTAGTCAACAAAAAAAATCTTGCCCCCATCACTCAATTTTCTAATTCCGCCACCGCTTAAAGGAACGTGTGTGAATCATATTCCTTCTCAAAGAAACCCATCATCATCCAGCTCGAATGATATGATAAACTAATGCCAGGTGAATCTTAATCTACATGTCAAATGGCTCCTTCACGCTTTCTATTAGTTCTACCTGTATTATTGATAGATGCCAAACTTTGTCCGACGTGGTGTTTTCCTGGAAAACTAATATTTATGTTTATTCTTACAGGCGGGATGATTAATCTTAGGTTTAATTATTCTTCACTCTTTAGGCATGCTGTTGTGTCGACTAATGTTTTAGTTCTTTTGTTAATGTCTTGGAGCTAGCTGTCTTTGTCTTTAGAATTTTTGTTCGTGTTTTGTTAATTATGGTAGTGTGTTTTAGTTTAAAGGTTCCGTAAAATATGAATAGTTAAATGAGAGAGTCTCTAATACAAAAGAGTTTTTGTTTCATCTAATAATCTTTATTGTATAATTTAATATAGTTTATCAACGACCTATTAGTATGAGCGAAAGGAACTCAGTTTCCTTAAGTAATGTCTCAAATTCAAGTCTTGTAAATAAAGAAAAAGTTTCTCTCAAATGGGATCTGACGTGATTAGATTTTAGATTAATTGGATTCAATGTGATTATCACATACCATGAAATTAATATCAAAAAAATAATTTAATACAATTTAAACTAAACAATTTTTTTTTTTTAGTTTAATAGGAGTCCATTTGATTTCTTGCATAGTTGTATACCAGGACGACTAGCTTTTCTGCATCTTTGGATCCTTGCTTTGATATTGTCTTGACTGGGTTACACGTACTTAATTTGAAATGCGCAGCGATCCCTGGACTAAAAGAAACAACCATTTCAGTTCAGCGCATAACTGAAATCTCCTATCAAAGCCCAATAATAACTTTTTGGTATTCATGGCCCATGTCGGCACGCAAAGCTCATCCAAAAAAACGAGGTCATTTTTTCGGCCCATCTACCAATCAATAGCAATTCAAAGTTTATTTTCAATACTAAACTCAAGTATTAAAAAGTTATATTACACCTTACAAGTTTAAAGTTAAAATGTATTA